TGCTAAATTAGAAAGTCACTGCACTGTGCTGGGAAAAGAAAACACCTCTGACCTTTACTGAAAAGACAGCAGATTGCTAAACATTCGATGGTTTCTTTGTGCGTTTGTTCTCGTGTCCTTAAACTGTCCTTTAGAAAGAGGAAACCACAAACACCTACAGTTTGGACAGCCGTACGTTACGTGGGACTTGTCAAACCGAGATTGGAAGCAGTCCGTCAGGGTGCTTGCTAGGTGCTGTTTGTTGTCGGCCTTTAAATCTTTTCAAAACTCTTGACTGGAGCTTTATTTGTTCTCAGAAGCAACCCAGGCTGGAAGTGTACACGCTATTCTTCAGCTGTGCAGAATGTGTTGTGCTCTTCAAATTCAGCGTGGCATCATCCATGAGGCCTGTCCTGTGACTCCTGTTAATATACAACAGGAGCCTTATCTCCTTAAAGTTTCAGATTCAGAGGAAGTCAATGACTGCTCTGTTTGAAATGTGAGAGCACTTATTGTTGCTCTCACTGGCAATGCTCAGTGCAAGATCTTATCCAAAATCCAACTAAAAAACATCTTTGTGCCAAAGTATTTGGTTCACACTCCGACACCGAAAGACGAAGTCTGCATTTGATGTGCATCCCCTGACTGCACATGACAGCTTCCCTCAATCCTAATTCACGTATTACAAATCACAGAAAATGATCTCATCATGAGTACAAAGTGAGCCAGTGATACCAGACCTCTAGAGAAGTAAACAGTTGTGCGAGCAGAAGGGCATATTAAAGGGATCGCTGCTGCATCCATTGGTTCCCATCACAGTGCAGGGCCATACTCTCTCGGCCCATTACACCTGCACAATAAAACTCGCTTTTCCACTGGGATCCAAACCTTTGATCGACAAAACCTTACCACCACCGCACAATTCAGCTCACTTTTTGCAACCGCTTTTCTTTTCAAACTGGCTTACAATTCAAGCAATGCATGGATCGATGAGTGCCATGCGTGCTGTGGAAGTGTTGCTGGTGCAAACCAAAAGGAAGTGATTCAGGGGGGGATGTCAGTTGTTGGAAGAGAGAGGCAGAGTGAACACATGGGCCAACTTTTAAATCCTGGAAGGCCCAGGTGAAGTAGATCAGCCGACGTCTGACGTCAGCCGACTGGCTGCAGAGGTGGGCAGGAATAGCCTCCAGGACAGCAGGAGGGATGTCACACATGTGACTCAGACCTTTTGGAGTGCATAATGCACCAACCAAACTGTACAAAAACTTAAGGAGAAATACCAATTATACCAGTATGAGAGCAAACAGCGGAAAAACACATTGCATAGGCAACTAGAAAAGAAAGTATAGTGCAGATCTCCGCCAGGTGTGTCTGCAACAACCACTGCTGGATTGATTCAATTAATACAACCCACAGTTGGCTACCGCCGCGTTTCGACACCAACGTAAGGCGTCGTAAAACAGACTTCATTCAAAGTGAAAAACAAGCTGTGATGTATGGCAATCGAAGTGGTCGTATAAGACATCTTTCAGACAATCTTGCCAAAACCAAAACTCACCGAGCTGTCGTTTTGAGAAAGTGTGAGTCATTGCAACCGCCCATCCAAACTATTATGAAGTTTACTGCAGCAGAAATATGAGATTAGCCGTGGACAGACACGGAGGTGCACACACACACACACACCTCGCGGAGATAATGAGAGACATACTCTACAAGCTCTGAGACAACTGGTGCTTCTTCCCGAAGATGTTTGTTCAACAGCCGAGTATTGATTTTGCAAGAAAGGCTCATTGACTCAACGACAATGTAAGAGTTCTGACTGTAACCCTTACGTTGTTTTGTTATTTAAGACAGCGGACGATGCTGTCTTTAGTAATGCACAATAGCAGCTGTATGTAAAGTATTTTTTTAAAGCGTAATCATTTCAAGTTCATCAAACTGACAAAATCCTGTGTTTGGTAAAATGCTCTAGCTAACAGCAGACTTCATTTCTTAAGATTTACTCTCCCTCCGTAGAGCCTCAATTCAGTCTCTATTGTCTCTCAACAGCTCTCAGCATGGTGGCAGCTCCCAGCTAACGGTGCGAACTGTGAATGAAACATGAATTGAACCAGATGTACTTTCTAGGGTTCGTTCTGTAAGTCGATGGGATGTGTGTGTGTGTGTGTGTGTGTGTGTGTGTGTGGAGGTAAGAAGTGCATGTGTGACTATCTGCCCACACTGAAACTATAATGAATGCTCCTTCATTATGCACTCCTACACAGCATGTCAGTGACCTCTTCCATTGATGTCCGAGTACAAAGTGAAAAGAAGGAGTCGTTTTTCTGAGTATGTAGAAGTGTGCATGAATGCATTTCAATGAATGCATTCACTCCATAACCATGATCAATGATGTACCCTTGACCGTTTGTCTGGAATATTTGCATATTTCACAACTCCATATGTTAGAACTAACGTGCTCCGTCAACAAACCAGCAGCAAAGAAGGAAGGAAACACGTGATGTAAACTCCACAGAGCAAACACACACACCCACAGAGCAAACACACACACACACACACACACACACACACAGTGGTCAGTCTGCTTATAAAACATAAGTCGAAGCTCCACGGGAGTTCTCCTTCATCCTTGTCATCTCTCCAGAAACCTGATTAATTGTGGATTCACCCGCACTGCCACACCGCCGCTAAACACGCTTCCCTCCCACACTGATGTGGAAGCTGCTGCTCATAATAACACCGTACTGTCGCCCAGTGGGACTAACTGGGTTATATCACCTCCACATGGAAGCATCAAGCGACACAAAGAGTTAACACAGCAACGCATTCATACACCTGAACCAAAAACAAAAAAAAAAAAAAGCGCATATGAATGCATACTTGCATAATACTGAATGTAGGATTGCAACCAATTATTGTCATTATTGATTTATCATGTAGTCCATTCAGTGTCAGAAAATAGAGGAAAACAGCAATTCACCACAACCAAAAGTGATGTCTACATATTAGAGCTGCAGCTACTTTCATTATGAACAAACTGACTCAATAATTTAGTCTCCCCAACATCAGAAAATAGTCAAAATGACCCATCAGACCAGAGCTAAAGATAACGTCTTGTTCTGTCCAATCAGTCCGAAAGCAAAAGATATTAAAGTGATAATGGTACAAAACACCAAAAGCAAAACATCTGCACATTTGAGAATCCACAGTCAGCAAATATTTGGCACTTCTGCTTGAGAAAGGATTTTTCAATTATCAACATAAATGCCTGTTGATCGACTAATAATTTCACTTTTCCTTTCTATTGCTTGTTTTGTCAGAGCAACGGTCCAAAAGATATTCAATCGAACGAAGGCACAATCACGGGAATGTCACACACACGACTGCCACTACACAACAGGGATCTCTTGTGGTCCTGAACATCATGTGAATCAAGAATAAATGGTGAGAGCTTCCTGCTCGCTGACAATTGTCCTCCGGCAACACTTGCAGCAGGGCTCGACAAAGCTCGGTCTCTCGTGTTGGATATTGGGTTTTTGATTCTTGCTTTGTCGGGCCGGTGGAGAGCATCAGCAGCATGGGATGTTTGGATAACATGCATCCTCTCCAAATCATCACATGGCCTCGTGTAACGTGGATGTCAGGCAACTCCAGCCCTGCCGTTCATGGTGTAACTGTCAAAACCTCAATCACACAGGTGGTTTTGTTTTTATAAAAGCTTGAACACTAAGTACCTTGTATAAAGCTTTATTCCTGCTCTGATTAAATCAGAGAACATAAATCCGTGAAGGCCATCCCATTTGACTTTGTGTTTCGTGCACAGAGTTTAACAGTTTAACCGTGCAGCACGGAAACTAAGCAGAATTATTTAGATGAATCAAATCAAACATCTCTTCGGTTCGGCCAGAAATTGAGTTAGCTAATCAGGTGGAGTGTGCATTACCGAAACAAAATAGTTATCCGCAGAATGAGAGAAAAACACTCAAATTCTCAAAAGGCTGCTGAACTGTGGTACTTATTAGCTTGATAACACATGTTAATGTCCATTAAGTGGCTCTATGCTTACGGGAAGTGTTCATGTAAGTTCATAACAACCAACATGTGAAAGCGGGTCCAGTGAGAGGACACATATAGTACCTCGATGCAGGAAGACGTAACGGCAGCGAGTGCTTCGGATACTTACGGCTCGTATTTCACAAGTAAACATGCACGCGTCAAGCTGCTGAGAGCTATTTGATTATCACTACTTGTCCTTTAAGAGAGTCTCAGTCACAAGCACTTTCACTGCAACTCTCCCCCCGAGCAACAGGCGACAACAAGTCCCACGTGGGACAGGGAACCACTTCGTTGTCTGTTCATTCAGAGTTTAAACAGTTTGTATATTTTGAAAGATCACTTCCTGTGATGACTCACACTTGACATTTACTGCTACAACTGTATGACATATTGAACATGCCCTTACTGTACAAAGCACGCCAGTCACATGTGGTTCGTTAAGTGTGTATGGAAGGTCAGAGGACTGCTATAAACGCAATAAACGTGACCAATTCCAAGTAAAGTTCACTTAATCAACTGTACAGTACAACATATTCAGTTAACCTTCAGCACACGTGTGCTCCATAGAGGTTCGAAGCTTACAGACTTCACACAAACTCATCACCAGTCTGGTCAAGTCACATGAAAACAGTCAGCAAACTGTCTTTCGAGGCAAAGAAAAAAAAAAAAAGTGTAATAATGTAAAACTAAAGAGCAGAGCGGTCATCACTTGATATCAGCCGACTGGATGTTTGTACACAGAAAGCTGGTCGGACCAGATACGACACACAGTGAAACTAGAGCCTGGGACAAATGCAATGGCATCTATTTTACTGTTCAGTTTCAACTGTTTTTATGAATTAATAGCATGCTCATATAAAATAAAAATCTCATCGGGTTGGAGTCAAACATCTTCTAAGAACATGAAGCATACAGCTCCAGTCCCACAGCCTGCAGTGAATGAAGCGCTGTAGGTCTCTGCTTACCTTAATGAGAGGGTATGCCAGAGACGGCTGGGGATCATGGGTGTCGAGCAAAGTCCAGAGCAAAAGTGGTCAAACCTTCAACCCCACGCGTGGCCACACCACAACCAGAGCGGTCGGACAACGGGCTTTGTGTGCGCAGCAACCGGGAAAACTCTGGTGCGCGCTGTATAAGCGTTCCCTCACACACACACACCAGGACAGCTGTGTTTGGGGAGATCCAAGAGGCGACAGATAGAGGCAGACGTGCTGCTGCCTTGTGCTGCTGGTCTCTCCCTATCTATCAGCCTGCAGCTCCCACTCTCTCCCTCAGCCTCTGTTGCTTCGTTCTCCCTCTCATTCCACTATATCTTTCTCTCTGACACACACGC